CACACACACACACACACACACACACACACACACACACACACACACACACACACACACACACACACGGACTATGATTCAATTTAAACCCAAAGTTGCTGAAATAAAGATTATGGAAAATGAAGTTAGAAAGAAGAGAGTTTTAGATAGGGGGTGGTCAGGCCTTTACAAGAAGCCATTTTTAAACAAGTCTTCATAGATGAGACCTTGGCAAGTATGGACAGAGTCCAACTTTTGGTGACAATGACTAGCAAGGCAGGGTACTGCAGTGAGGAAAGTGTAGAGACAGCAGTAGTCTGTTCTTCAGTACTTTTTATAGACTGCTGATAGCAGCTGAGAAGTCATTTAAATGAGTGGCATTTATACAGGAGGGACATAAGTTTATGAAAGGCATTTACTTTTTTTGTGTGTTATGTGCCAATACTAGAAGTAATGGCTTAAACTTGGTGCTGTCCCTTACCAGGTGAACCACAGCTCTACTTCCAGCTTTTTCCTGACTACACAGAGATAAGAGTTGTCTCATACTTTCCTGCACCGGCTGGCTTCTAACCAGGATCCTCAGATATACCCTCTTGAGTAGGTAGGATTATAGGTGAGAGCCACCAGCGCTTAGCCATTTACATTGCTTTTAATGACTGACTAGGTGTTTATGACCTATACAGTGGAGTTAACTTGAACATACTTACCTTAGTAAAGGCAATTTATTTATTTTAATAGAGGCAACTGAGGCTCAGGGAAGATACAGTCATTGACTAAGTCACACAGTCTAATCCAGCCAAACATCAAAAGCCTGAGCTAACTCCTACTACACTAAGCAGATGACCCTTCTGGCTAATTCACTTACCAATTCAGCCCCATTGAGTCAAAAATGCACTGACTTCACAAATGTCCTCCTGAAACAAACAAAAAAAAGTGCTATTAAATAGTATATTTATACAGTTTTGTGGTAAAATTTCTCCAAGGGGTCACATTTTTGTACGTTTTTAAAAATAACAACAGATTGGTTGAAATACAGTACTACATCTAATTTACTTACTTAAAGGCCACGTCTTGGGTGAGAGGTGTGACTCAAGAAAGCACTTATTTAGCAAATTTAATCCTCTGAGTTCAAACCTCAATAGAGAGGGCAGGATGGGAGAAGGACAACTCTCTCATAAAAATACTTTCTTTTTAGCAATTCTGGAGGCTTGAACTTAGGTCTTTGTGCTTTCCAGGGAGGTACATTACCAGTGTACAATGCCTCTGGTCCCATTTGCTTTTATGAAAGATGGTGTTTCCCCATTATCACCTCCCACCCACAGCTGGGATGGTAAATACACACTATACCAAATGCACTCTCTTTTAAAAACATAATCATATATATTTTGGGGAGAGGGGGAGGCTGGTCATAGGGCCTAAACTCAGCTCTTCAGCTCAAGGCTAGCACTCTACCACTTGAGCCACATCATCACTTCCAGCTTTTTCTGCTTATGTGGTGCTGAGGAATTGAACCCAAGACCTCATGCATGCAAGGCAAGTGCTCTACCACTGAGCCACCTTCCCAGCCCCAATTTTATATTTCTTAAAGGTGTTTTACAGAGGGGTTATCATTTCCTAAGTGATAAGTACATTTCTTTTTGGGGATGGTGTCACCTTTTCCTTCGCTTTCCTCTAGTTCTCCTCCATTTCTGCCCACAAGTTACATAGTACATTTTCCACATAGTGAATAATGAATAGTATGATTGCATTTGTTCATCCTCCCTCCTCTTCTGTGCCCTCTTAAAAAAAAAAAAGAAAAAAGAAAAAGCAAACACCACCACCACTAATACCATCACCACCACCAAGCCCATTCTTTTTGGTTAAGACAGGGTCTCATTTTGTTCAAAACCCAATCCTCCAAATCTCTACCTCCTGAATACAGGCATAAAAACAACTCATGAATTGAAAGTTTTCAAACTCAAGCTATCCTGGCCCACAGTTGGTGTAAATGATTTTTCTCAAGTCTATTTAGCTTCTCTATTAGCTATTAGCTATTCTCTATTAGCCTGTTAGCTTCTTTAGCTGCTTCATTCATTTCATCACCTAACAGGATGGGCAGAAAACTAGAACCTTAAGCAATAGCTACACTGCAGAGAAAAATGACTTTTACAGAACTAGTGAGCCTTTCTCTTGCCTTTGGTTTTTACCTCTAAATCTCATCCATCCAAGTTTGGTAGGGACTTCTCAATGTAAACTAGGTCAATTGTAATGCTTATAAACTTTATCAAAGAAGAAGTATATTATTTTTGTAAATTTATTTTTAGAAATAGTATAAATGAATTGTAATTTCCTTAATTGTCCTGCTAGTGTAATCTTAATACTATTAAACCATATATGAAACTACTTTTCTTCTTCCCACGATATATGTTTCAGAAATTTATGTATTTCTAACAATAGTATATGGTGCCACTTGGAGAGTTGCAAATATTTTTCTTCCCATTGATCCAAATTATACTAAAGCTGAAAGATACTCCTCAGAATTTCTGGCACAAAATTAGGGCTGTTACTGATTTTTCATCACTTTGATAAAGTTTTATGTACTACTTTTGCTTTAAAATTATTATTACTGGGGCTGGGAATGTGGCTTGGTAGTAGAGTGCTAGCATTCAGCAAAGGAAGCTCAGGGACAGAGCCCAGGACTTGAGCTCAAGCCCCAGGACTGGTAAATAAAATAAAATAAAATAAAATAAAAATAATTATTACTGGCTTGGACTGGGATATAGCTCCAGTGGCAAAGCGCTTGCCTAGAAAGTACAACATCCCAGGTTCAATTCTCAGTACCAAAAAGAAAACACACACACACACACAAAAAATACAGTTAAATAAAGTTTTACCATTGCTAATTCATTACCCTATATTCTTTAGGGAGGAGGTTAAGACTGAAGGCTAATATATAATAGACTTAAGCCTGTATTTAATTTCTGGAGAACTATTTACTTTGAATAAAAATAGATGCATCCAGGTTCAAATATACTGTGAAATGGGAAAGAATTTGGTTTTACCCAGATTAGATTTTGAACTAGTATCTTGGTATTTCATAAAATTTGTCACTTTTTTTGGGGGGGGGAGGTCGGTCATGGGGCTTTAACTCTGGGCTTGGGCGCTGTCCCTGCCCTCTTCAGCTCAAGGCAAGTGTTCTACCGCTTGAGCAACAGCGCCACTTCCAGTTTTCTAGTGGTTTATTGGAAATAAGAGTCTCACGGACTTTCCTGCCTGGGCTGGCTTTGAACCGTGATCCTCAGATCTCAGCCTCCTGAGTAGCTAGGATTACAGGCGTGAGCCACCAGTGCCCAGCCCAAGTATCTACTCTTAATAGATAAAAACTTGAGATCCTTGTAGGAGGGTGTGGGGAGGGCACAGAATCTGAGGAAGAAGAGTGAAAAGTGCAGCAGTGGGGCACACTGGACATTGATGAAAGTGAACTATACAACTCGTGGGAGGAGATGGGAGGGAGGGAATGTTGAGAATGAGGGAACAGATGAAAGGAAATGTACTTATTCCCTGATGCATATAAATGTAATCCCTCTGTATATATCACCTCTATAACAGTAAATTACTTTTTTTAAATCTTGAGCTCCTGAGCTTAGTACCAAACCAAAAAAACCTGAATCCTGAAAATTTTTTAAAGGAATAAATCGTATTGAGCTTTTGTATTCAAGACTAGTTAGTGCTCTACCACTTGAGCCACAGATCTACTTTCTAACCTTTTGGTGGTTAATTGGAGATAAGAGTTTCACAGACTTTCCTTCAATGGCTAGCTTCAAACTGTGATCCTCATCTCAGCCTCCTGAGTAACTAGAGATAGTGGCTGAGTAACTAGAATTAGCCCTTTGCATGGTGGTTCTTGCCTATAACTAGCATTCAGGTAGCTGAGGCAAACAGATGAGATCAAGACCACCCCAAACTACAATCTTTAAAAGAAAAACAAAACAGTAAATGGCCCTTTAAGAATCACTCTAAAAGGAACCTGAGATCTGAGAATCACTGCTCAACGCCAGCCTGGGCAGGAAAGTCCCTGAAACTCTTATCTCCAATAAATCAGCAGAAAACCAGAAGTGGTGCTGTGGCTCAAGTGGTAGAGCACTAGTCTTGAGCCGAAGAGCTGAAGCACAGCACCCAGACCCAGAGTTCATGCCCCATAACAAACAAACCAAAAAAAAATCCTCTACAGTAACAATGTTACTCAAATTATTGTAGTTTGTTTCAAGGTTGGCTGAATTTGGCAGGTACTCTACCATTTAAGCAGGGTCTCTAGCCTTTTTGCCCAATTACTGATGAAGATGAGGTCTCATACTTTTGCCCAGGATAGGCTTCAACTGAGATCCTTCTTATCTCAGCTTCCTGAGTTGCTAACATTACAGAAATGAGCCACAGGTATTGAGCTTTCAGAAATTCTAGCTGGGCCCAGGTGGCTCACACCTATAATCTTAGCTACTCAGGAGGCTGAGATCTGAGGATAGCAGTTCAAAGCCAGCTTGGGCAATAAACTCCATGAGATTCTTATCTGCAATTAACGACCAAAAACTAGAAGGATTTTGTGGCTCAAAGTGGTAGAGTGCTAGCCTTGAGCAAAAGAGCTCAGGGACAGAGCTCAGGCCCTGAGTTCAAGCCCCATGATTAGAAAAAAAATATTTGAATAAAATTTACCAGTTTTTATCTGTTGGCTTTTTTTTTTTTTAAATTTAAACACTGCCAGAGCTATCATTTGTAATTCACAGACTACAGTTCTTAAAGCCAGGCTATACCTATAGTCTTAGCTATTCTGGAGGCTGACAAAGAAAGACTGCCTAAGCCCAGTTAACAACCAGTTTGGGCAAAATAGTAAGACTCCATCTGAAAATATGAAATTTAAAGCCAGGTACCAGGGGATGATGCCTTTAATCTTAGCTACAAGAGAAGGATCTAGTTCAAAGACAGCCCAGGCAGAAAAGTCCAGAGACTTTTACCTCCAATTAACAAGAAAAATGCTGGCTGTGAGGCACAATAGAGTACCTGCTGAGCAAATGTGAATAAATAAATTTAATAAGATTTAATAAAGAAATTTATAAGTAAATAAATTTAATAAATAAGATGGAACTCACAAAGCAAGCAGAAAAAGTCCTGTTTGTAACAGTAAGTTCACCCTAGCAATAAAATTTCTTAATAGAGAAGAATCTGAAATAATTATGCTTTCTAAAGGTTCAGAATAATATGGTTAGTATTGTTAATGAGATAAATTTAATTCACTTGTTTCTTGTTGAAGGTAAAATTACCATTTCTCAATTTCAAAACCAAAGGGAACAGTTTAATGTATTAGTCTAAGGAAATGAGCAGCATTCAAAAGAGAAGCTTATTCTATACTGAAATCATGAAAATACTTATATAACAGATGGCTGTGTAACTAAAGGAAAAAGGTTGTATTGCATGACATTATCATGAGCTGATATAAACATAGCCACTTTGGATACCACACTAAGTTAAGGACACTAACACTACACTTTTCAGCTAAAAGCCTGATCAAAGATCTAACACGTTATTTGGGAAGGTCACATGTGTGGTGTAATCCCAGTTCTGAGGAGTCAGAGGAAGGAAGATCAAGTTCCAGGACAGCATAGGCTACATAGTAAGACTTTCTCTTAAAACAAACAGCTGAGGCTGTTTGTTTTTTTGTTTGTTTCCTAGCTACTCAATCTAGAGGCTGAGCTCTGAGGATCTCGGTTTGAAGCCAGCCCAGGCAATTAATCAGCAGAAAACTCAAAGTGGAACTGTGGCTCAAAGTGGTAGAGTGCTAGCCTTGGGCAAAAGAGCTCAGGGATAGTGCCTAGGCCCTGATTTCAAGCCCCATGGCCAAACAAACAAACAAAAAATGAATGTTAGTAAAGCTTTATAATTAGAG